TTTTTTTTTTTTTTTTTTTTAAATGCCTGTCCTGCAGCTAAGGCTCCCGCATGGCTTTGCTAGCAAAGCACTGCAGCCATTTTATAGAGGCGCCAGCTAGTGTGTTTTCATGAAGGGAGGCTGATGCACCCGGAGGCTGTAACGCACCCTGCAGAGCGGACGGGGRGGAACCGCAGCTGCTGGTGAGTAGATCGCGCCCTGCGCAGTTGTTTCACGTGGCGTGGTTGTTCACTTCACTTTCCTGTGTTTCAGCAGCCTGAGGGATGTCGGAGCTGACAGACAACGTTGTGATAAGAAATGGAAGTCTATAAGTGAAGATTGTCTTGGTTTGGTTTGATAAAGTTTCAACTTCAAAACAAGAAATATGTGTAGGGCTTTTTTTAAACTGTAATTAGTGTGTTTTTGTTGTTTCTCTCTGAATATTAAGTTTTTTGAGCTCTCCCCCCAGCTGGGATATACAAGCTTTATTTTTAATTTTTCAAGAAAAAAGAATATTCCTGTGTTTACAATCTCTGCACTCCACAATTTGGTGTTTGGAGTGCCTCACTGGCTAACAGCGAAGGATACAAGGCCCAGTTTTGGGGAAAGAAAAGGGTCTTGGCGTGCAGTGTTGTACGGGGCAGAGGGGAGATGAAGAGATGAACATGATCTTCATCTAGGGAGGGGAAAATACAGAAAATGCAGATACACTGTGAAGAAAGGTGTTTTGCCCCGAGCCTTTGGCTTCTCGGAGAACATCTGCCATAAAGCAATCCCTTAGTGAACTTGTTGGGTTTTGCCTGAGCTTAATTCTTTGCAGAAATATTTGCTACGGGGGCTGTTCTCCTTTGCTCTCTGTCACGTGTGGAAGAGAGGAGAAGCTGTGTGGGCCTGTTTGCAGTGAAAACCCTTTGAGGGCCAGATTGCTGCTGTCAGCGAGTGCATATTTACCCAGGACTGTGAATACTTGTCCGGGGGAATTGAGACTTGCCATGTAATTGAGCAGATGTTTAATATCAGTGTGGATTTAATTATTTTAAAGAGATTCTGTGAGCTGATGACCCAGAATTCTTCCTGCGAAGAAGTTGAAGCGATGGTAGAGCCGTGTAGAGAGTTGAACAAGACATGTTGGCTTAGACAGCTTGCTTGCAAATGTCAACATGAATGGCTCAACCAAATTTAGCCCAATGTTGCTGAACTTGCTGGATTTTTGTATAATGCAAACAAAAGAGCAAACCCTGCCAAAATCAGGCGATTATGACCGTATATACAACTGTGCAGGCTGTCAGCAGAGGGCATCCCTCTTGCTGGGATCTTTGGAGTCAAAGGCCAAAGCCCCCCCCTTCCTGGTAAATCCAAATAAGTGGCAGATCCAGAGGTTCTGTCACTTGGCTCCACTCTTGGATTTCCTAGCTATTCCAGTAGRAAGATATGTAGTCTTTGTAGTAAAACACTTTAGTGTGTAAAGATGGTCTTCTAAGTCTGGCACCAACTACTATCTATTTATGAGAAGATTTTTGTATTTTCTATGAGTTGTACCATTTATAAAACGTAAAGCTTAAGTTTAAAGTCGAATTTATTCATGTTGATGTGATTTTATGTAAAACTTTAAGAAGTGAAAAATAACTGCTAGGGTACCAAGAGCTGCCCGCCATAGTAATTGCTCTGTTATATCCCTGTATGATATCAGTTTTACTGTGTATTTTGTGGTTTTAAAATTATTTTTCAGTAAACCAAAATAAATGAGACTTGTGGCTTGTCAGAAGAAATAGTCTGGAACTGTGAGACTCTGCYGAGAGAGAGGGCTGTGGTCTTAAGAATGATGAATAAATGTGAAGACATCTCCAATCAACTGACCAAGCAAGTAACCAAGATCACTGAGGATGGAGGATGTGGATGGAACATCACCAGTGGCAGTGGCGTCGCTGTTTCACTGGATTGTGCGTATAGACGTTTCTGTGCCTTATTTGACAATACTTGAGTCTGTGCTTGTTTTGGTCCCTTTGTTGTATTGTATTGGTCTAGTATCAATTGTTTTCAATAAAATTCTATAAAGGAAAGAAATATTTTCATTTTGTGTTTGTTGAGAGTAAACGGGAGAAATTCTAACATGGCAGTTAAAAATAAAAGAAGCGGTGTTCAAGCTAGCAGAGATGCTTCTTTTGAAATGAATTATCTTTATTCAGTGGTTACTTGTTAGTCATGTTTTGTTCTGTTTGAATCGCGATTGAGTTATACACCTCGTGACAAATCTGGAGAGTAGCAAGTCAGAGTATCCACCAAGTGAAGCTTGAAGAAAAGAAAGAGCGATTATAATAAAACTGAACGGCCTGGGATTACACCCCTGAATGCTTCATCTAGTTTTGCCAGGATTCCCTTGGAGAAGGTCTTGCCTCTCAGTATCGTCCGGTCCTGGTGTCTGTGGTTGGGAAAGAGGTTCAGAAAGAAGGCWACTTGGTCTTCTCTGTGATATCTCTTGCTGAAGAGGAGAAGAGAGTGGAAGATAGAGCAGGAAAGATCTGTGAAGAGCAAGAGAAATCCTGGAGAATGTGTGCTGAAAGGAACCCAAGGCTGGAGTTTTCATTGTGGGGAGCTCACCAACCATTACTGGAGTTGATGGTTTTATGTCTTCATTTCTAGTGAGAGGGGTGTAAGTGGAAGCAAGCTTGTCCCCGATTTGGACTTGTCAACCAAGTCCCTTCTCTCAAATGCACAGAAGGATGCCTTTAGGTTAGGGGCTTAGTCTAGCGTATCTGTCTGAAATGTACGTAGATGATTCTAGAACTTGTAATCTACAACAGCTTGTTAATTGTGACGTGAAAATATAAATGTGTATTTTTGATTTCTTTGTTTTACTCTTTTGTACCAGTAGGCTACATAACTGTCTTTGGTCTTTTCTGGATCCAGGCTGCAATAGCGGGGAGCGCTTGTACTCTGTCTCTGAGAGCCAGGAGCCTGGGGTAGTTTTCTGCCAAGTCAGGTTTGAGGGACAGAAGAGTTGTACTGGACACATCCCAGTAGAAATCAGCCCATGTTACCTGGTGGGAGCAAGAAGGGAGAAAGCAGAAGATAAGTTGGTCAGCTCAAAACGTGAATCTGAAAATGAATTGTTCTGTTCCATGTTCAGTTACTGCATTTGATGTATTTATGTTTTGGAAGTGGCACTTGCAGAGCTAGTGATGAGGTTGCAATGCAGGGCTTAACATAATTATAAACAAAGCAAGGAGCTGCCGAGAGTGGTGGTCGTTGTTTTACGTGATTCTGTAGGCCTGCATGAAATGCAGAAGTTCAACAGGAGTTATTTTGCTTTAGTGGCTACTTGTTTGGAGTGGGAGATARTACTTAAACTCTACTTACAGATTCTCCTACCAGCCAGTTCTTGTTCCCTAAGAAAGTATCCAAGTCTTTCAGTAGCTCTGGTGCTTTGTTGGTGAGGATGTCATCAAACGCTTTTTTCTGGGGGAAGAACAGAACAGAGCCCCATGTAAATGCAAATGTGATTCTCGTTTTTTTCTTATTTATGAAAAAAATGTCCCACCCAGGGGAATGTGAGAAAGAGGATAATGGACTCCAAGTAAGTGTCAATAAAAGCAAGAGGAATTGGATAAAAAAATAAGATGACAACTGTTCTTTGAGCTAGTGCAGAAAGACCATGACGAGGCTTAGTCGCTAGCCAAGGTCGTTACCTCGCTATGAGCTAACGAAACATTGTGTCGTTACCTCATGATGTGAGGTACGCTGTGGCGTGGTWTACGCAGCTGGACTGGGCCCGCAAATGTGGTAACGGTCGCACAACTGCTCCATGGTAACAGTCACGCAACTGCTCCATGGGTTTGGAAATGGCTTGTTTGTAGAAGGAGTTAGTACCTCTCCTGTGGCCTTTTCTTAGTACCTCATGTGGCTTTTTTTTTAGTACCTCATGTGGCCTTTTCAGAGGGCCTTAAGCAACAGGGCTTTTCTCATTTTTATGCTGCTATGATTTATAACGTCAAGTCTTTCTAAAGACTTGAATGCCATAARTAATCTTAGGGCTGCCTACTGACACCCGAGGGAATGACAGGGCAACCGGGTTAAAAAAGTGTTTTCTCTGTAAGTGACTGCATTGGTGATGTCCTGTGGAAGTGGGGCGTGTAGCTCAGTTCTACTGTCCTGTCTCTTACAACATTCTCTCCCAAAGAGACTGATGAGTTTATGTAGGATCATTATGTTGGATCATTTCTACTCTTCAGTGCAGGATTGTTTAAAGTAAGGTAGCCTTTTACTCTTCGTGGACAATTTTACCCTCCTCCCCCCCCAAAAAAAAAGGTTCAACTGTGTACTTTGGARACACACTTTTTTCTTCTCCTCCATGTGTAAGCAATTGAGATGCCCAAAGGCCCTGCACCTGCTGGGGTTATTTAGTCAGGTATGTGGTGCAGCTGGGGCAGCTGCAGCTCATGGCTCTTTGACCTGAGCTTGGAGAAGGGTGTTTAGATTGAGGAAAAAAGATGACCTGTTTGAATGGAGGGCACCTTCAGCGTTTCAAACGGTGCAGCTTGGGATCAAATCTGTATGTCTGCAGAACCRTGTGAAGACCTCCTGCATCTTTCCACTGTCAGGTAAGGCTTTKGGGGAGAGTTTGGGGCAAAAAAGGTGAGTGTGGGGCGTGAACCAAGAGTTTCTGGGCAGGGTGCTCATATCCCCYTTATCTTGCTTATTTTTCTTCTTGTTCCTGGCTAGGTGTATGATGCCCCACGAAMATGTTCTCTCAAGGCTGGGTGTTCCTGTAATTGTTYGTGAGGTTTGGGCAAACCTTCTGACTCGGATGCTTTACTGGATGTAAATGTTTTAAGTCCTTAGGTGTCAGGACCTCAATCAGGCTGTGCTTGAACCGGCAGTTAGACGTTGCCACCACAAGGTGGTGGCAGTGGATCCGAAGAGGAGTAAGATGAAAAAAGCCTTGTTGAGAAAGGTAAGAAGGAGATATTCCCGTTGAGTTTTTTAGAGCATGTATGTTTTTGCCACTAGTTGACTCTGTTAATTAACATTTTGTAGTCAGTTTTCTGTAATAAAATACTCTTGTCTGGCTTAAACATATACAAGTATATGCAAGGGGGTTACACTGATTGTTACAGATTATTAAATCTTTCATATAAGATCCAGATTACTTTTTGAGGTCAGAAGTGATTAAAACTAATGTAATACTCGAGTGAACTCATGCATCACCCTCTTTGCTGAACAAATTAGATGACATTTTGCCAGTGGGGCCTCTGAGTCTGTAGGGTAGAAGAAAGGAAGGGCAGCAAAAATCGCCCAGAGTGTAAGATATGTACAGGACTGTGATTGGGCCGCAGGGCAGTCGGAGGAACGTGGCCACAAAGAGAGAGGTGCTATGTTGCTCCTTAGAGCACAAGACCTTCAGCGGACTCTCATGAAGGAGAAGCCATAGATACTCAGGTGTGCACTCATTGCTTGTGTGTTGTCCTTTTTAAAATGAGTGGTTCTCTTACCCTCACATCCTGGTTTTTCTCTGCCCAGGGGAACAAGGTCATGAAGTCGTCTATGGTGTCCACAATGGCATCAACTAGCGCCTGCTCCAGTGGCGTCCGGCCTGCCACACCTAGCAGCAGCAAACATGTAAGGGGACGTTAAAGACAGCACTAACAGGAATATTTGCTGCACCAAAGTTGAGCTTTTAGTTTTATGCCCATCTCAATACAAGTAGTGCCCTTAGCAGTATCCAGTGTAGGACATGGCATTTCTGTAGCCAGCCCTCGATGCTGGTAAGCAAACCACAAGTGCAGCAAGAAGCTGTTAGCCCATCGTTGTGCCTGAGAAAAGCATTCATAYGAACGCTGTCTCAGTGCTGTTGTTTTCTGTTACGCTGTTATTGTTAAGGTGGTATGTATTTTATTTGCTGAAGAGCATTAAAGGTGTGGGGCAGAACAGAGTGAAGAAGTTGTCAAATGCACATTACCTGCTTCTCTGGCAAGGTATCTTGCTATTGCCAGGCTTTGGTGAATGATAACTCCATCCACTTCCAGAATGGGGAGTTTACCAAATGGGATAGCTTGGAGGAAGGGGGAGAAAAATAAAATAAGTTAAATCCTATCGCAATTAAAGTTTATAATAATCACACTTGTGATACTCTCACAGAGAAAGCATTGTTACAAAACTACYTTGTCAAAATGCTGTAGGTCCGGATTAAAGTAAAACAACATAGCTAAGGAGAAAAGTGGGATAACGTTGCAAGCTGGCAGCTCTAGGGTAGAAACTAGGTATCCCATTTCTTAGTCTTGTGTTATAAAGACTAGATGTGCAGATGACATGAGGAGAATTTAGTTCTAGTGATACTGACTTTTCTCTAGATTCAACATGTGAGGAGGCTACCATAAATTTTGATTCTGATGACTAGCAGAAGGGAGAGAACTCAAAAAGGATTCAAAGTGCTTTACCACAGGGAGAAAGCATACAATGCTATTTCTTCTTAGAACCTGTAATAGAGTTGTTGCCCAGAGGACTCCCTGTCCATTGGGATCAAGAGAGCAGTAAGGCCACACGTGACTGTATCGCTGAGAATCCAGGGATGGAAAGACACATCCCTCATGTCAACTTGAAAAGCWCTCTGAGTATGACATGCTGAAAGCCTTGGTTCTGTACTGTGCATTAACAGTGCAGAGTGCCCTTAGTCCTCATACGTTTGAGACCACAGTGCTAGACACTAGTGTCAAGTGTCACCCTTTTGGCTCCTGTAAGACAGCGTTAACTCTCATGAAGTTCTGACTAGGTCAACATGACTACGCAAGTCTCTTTAGTAATAACTGCCAAAACGCAGTGATTGTGGTTCTAGTTAGGAAACAAAAATGGCATAATCTAGGAACTGAACGCATTGTTTTATGCTGCATTTACATATATGAGCAAAGAGCAGCATCTTTGCTTGACATTGCTTTTGTCTGTCAGAGCAAGGAAAATGATACGTGAGTTGTGTGTGTTCGCTTTGAGAGAGCATGAGAACTTTGATTTGAGAAAAGGGGGCAGAGCAATCTTTTTGGTATTTGAAGAAAACGTTTTGAAGGGTGCAGTAAAGGCAGTTTGATGTTGGTGTGGAAGAGCTAGCACGATTCCTAATGATCTGTTTCCCAGGGATCTGCTTATTGCTTGGTTCCTCTTATTGTTGCTCATCCACAGAGTTCTTTGAGATTCTGTTTACACCTTGAAAATGTAAGTAATGGCTATAATTTGTTTTCCCCTCACTGATGACCAAATTTTAAAAGAGGGAGAAACAAAACAAAACAAAAAAACATACCTTCAAGGCATTAGCACCCAATATTAATTTAGGAAGACCAAAATTTTTAATCATGTGAGTCAAGTATCTTTTTACTCTTCGGCAAATGTTTTTTTWWAAAAAATCTTAAAAAGAAACTCTCTAATTTTTTTTTTTATACTGATAGTATGAGCAGAGAGTGGCCCTGCTGCAACTTCTGTAGAAACATTGACTGATGCCCATTTTTCAAGCATGGATCAAAACGCAGCTGGGCCATCTACTCAAAGACCAAGTTTCAAACAGAAAACAATCTGTCTGTAAATGAGTTTAAGCATCGCTACTTTTCCACTTGTGGGTTTGGCTCTCATGGCTTGTTTTGAGCCTCTTCTGCTATTTTTGGCCCTGTCTCTACTACCCAACAACACACATTAGTTTTTTAGGAACATTTCGTGATGCATGAAGCTGCTAAATGGAGGATCAGTGTAATAAAACAGTGATAAACCTCTGCTGCTGTTTTTGATGAAAGGCTTGGTTTACGCAATTCCTCATGAACTGAATGCCTGGGCCAGCTCCTGCACATATTCCTACTTTAGATGAGTGAGTAAATGAGGCAGCACAAGAGGCAACAACACAAGCAGGATCTCATTTGAGTAGAATGAGTATTTGGGGCTCAAATCTTGAGCCAGTGTGAATCAGAGCACAATGATGAATCRTTAGTTAAGCTGAAAAATAAAATGCAGACTGGAAGGATGTGCATGCCACTTGGCTAGCTTTCTTTTACCCTCCCTCAGTCTGGTGGCCCCTGTGAGTTCATGTTGATTTATTCCCTTGTGTATCCATATGGATGTTCTTCCCGTGTCTGCCAAAATATCGTCATGTCACAGAGTTTCCAGGCTCCACTTAAGCAAATACGTTTTGAGAAGAGGAACTAGGAAAAAAAAAAAGTTGCCATCATCATCTCGGTAATAGTGTCATTTCTCAGGCATGCACAAACTACGTGCCTTTTCTCTCGTAGTTTCCACTTGTTTTGTTTCTCTTCTGTACTAAAAGACACTACGATGGCTTTTGTTGATATTCAGATTTTGAATGAAAACCCACTTAAAAGGAGAACAAGGTTTTAAAAAGCATGTTGTTTGTATAACTAAACCTGTAGCTGCCTCTAATTGAACTTGTTTTTGTTTTTGCTAATATCCTGGTTTTTTTTGGTGTTGTTATTTTGAGTGTTGCTGGAATGAAATCTGGAGACCTCACGCTCCCTATCAAGAACACATCAACAGGATAAGCGCAAGTTGTCAGACGAATCTGCATTCTTTCCTCTTATTCTAGGAAGGAGTCGGTGAAGTATCTGTGCTAGCTTGAGATGCACAAATTCCTTAACATACATATTTTCATTCCACTGCGTCTTTGACTAGAGCTGTGATGTTCATAGCTTCTGATGGGTAAAAGCAGTATTGTATTTCTATCCAGTTCAAAAATGAAAGTTGCAGCATCTGTAATTCTGCTTTCTAAATAGCCTCTCCCTATGTTAATATCATTGAACACATTTTTTAGTTTCCCTTCACTTCTATAGGAGAACTAAAATATCGTGAAACATGTTTGTCAGAATAATGACAGTTTTGTTTTTTATGACATAATTTGGGTGGGAGAGTGTTGTATGTTAAGAAATTTTACTATTATTTTTTGCAGATTCATGAAGTCACCTTCTGCTCTGTACAGAGAACTGACTGACTCCTGATGCTCTTGGATGAGCTTGGCTCTTTAATATGGTTTATTCTCTTAGTAGGTCAAAGAGACTTTCCTTGCCCATATTTATAAGGGCAAAGTTTTACCTTTGCTAAGCATTATTCAGCCACTGTATTTGATATTCTAAAAGAAGATGCACAGGTGTTTTGTACTTGTAGAGCTCTGCAGGCAAAACTATTCTTAGATCTTTCCAAGTCAGGTAGGTATACAAATTGCCTTTACTGTATGAAAATATGCATAGCATCTTATCTCTTAACTTGGATTCAATATGTAATTATAAAATTAATTCAATAGTACCAATTTTAATGATTTTTGAAAGCTGCAAACAAGTTGCAAACCCTTCTTGACAACTGTCACCATTCCATCTGGCTTTCTAAACCTGGGCTGATGGCTGCAGTGTAGTCCTTGAGATAAAATCCACTAAGAAGCCTGGATAATGAGGATGTCTTTGATCAGCTTTAGGTAGATGAAATGAACTGATTAGGAGCAGAAGCCCAGCTGGATGACAGTGATAAAATCAAGGAATCATGCAGCTTATGTTGCAGAAAGATTTGGGTCTGAATTCTTTGGAGTTTCAGAAATAAATKTTGAGGTCCTTAGATGCTGAAAAGCAACATTCCCATAGACTTCATTAAAGCCCATATTTGATTTTGATTTTTATATATATATATATATATTTTTTATCATGAAACATTTAAGTACCTCTTCACTGGCTTTGCAGTTAGACAGCATTTCTAGGACAGCTTTGAATTCAGGAGTCTGTTCTACTTACTTGGTTTGATTTTGGGCCAGTCTGCTGCTTCTATCTTGTGGTCTTCATACTGCTTGCCCGAATAGGCAAACAGATAGCGGCTAATTTCTGCTCTTCCTCTCAAATTGAAGTATGTCAGCTTGTAGTGAGGCATGCTGGATCTCTGAAAGGGAACACATCGGTTTGTGTAAAATATATGGAACCTAGCTCATTTTTGCAAAAATGAACCATGTGCTTGCTTGTGAAACACATGCTTATACAATACTAAGGAGATGTTGCACCAAAGGGCAGTGTGCTGTACATGGCAATCGTTGCATTAGGCACTTCTTGTTCTGCAATTGTCAGCCACAATATTTGCGCTTTCCTGTATCTCAAAAAAAAAAAAAAAAAAATTAATCACAAAAAAAGAGAGGTGATTTAAAATTGGGTTTTCCCTTTTTTTTTAAGATCCTAGTTAGGAATCATGTTTCATGCAGGCCTTATTTGTTCCTTGGGCGACAGTCAACAAAAGAAAATATGTGCTTGTAAGCTTGAATATGCGATAAGGATGGAGATAAAGCCACTTCAAACCAAAAATGAGCCTTGCATTGCACTGTATGCAGTCCTTGGATATGAGAGGGCAGAATGTGAGCTCAGGTGAGGTTTAAATTTACTGTGAAAAGAAGCTAGAACAATCACTGTCTTCCCCCTCAAAATAAAACTCTTCATCAAGAACATTTTAGCATCAAAGAAGGTCTTGTGTGTCAATTATCATCCCTTGATATCCGTCCAAATGGGTATTAGTATGCTTTTAGTAAAGCACATAATGTAGATACTCTGAAGCCAGAGGAATACTAATAATTCAAGCTACGTTTGCAAATGGTACAACCTTTAAAGTTCAGGGTCGTAGCAGGCGTCTGCTTCATTTTTTTTAGGGGCATCTATGATGCTTTTTTGTAAATAGCACAAGAAGATCCAGTGCCTCCAAAAGAAGACACTTCTTGCACGTGGCTCAAGTGTCTTAGCTATCCCTCTGCTACTTGTCAGTTCATTAGCRGGAAGTTACTGAGGACTGCAAGGTATTCAGAAGGAAATGAAGAGAGGATCTAAWGCCCAGTAATGAAGAAAGGGGTAAGTAGCTACATAGAGAATGTGTAGGAGGTGAATGAAGCAATTATGGTGGCCATAATTTTGAAAGAGGGTAGTCCTTGCTGTCTCAGAGTTTCCTGTACAAAGACATGTATAATCAGGAATTGAGAGCTGATGTAAAGAGCAGGGAATTTTGGCTGAATATCAGAAAACCTTTGACTGTTGTAGGCTGTGGAATATTTTGGTTTGCCAAGGAAGTAGTGGAAACCATTGTTTGAAATGTTTAAAGCAAGGCCAAACAAATTTCTAATAAATACACCATAAAGAGCAATCAAATATTTGCAGTGCTGATGCACATTTAAGACTTCTTTTTCTTTTTTTACCGTCTGTGAACAAAATCTGCAAGGAGTTTCCTAAAAACGCTTGACGTTTTTAAAGACATCTATAGCTTTATTGTAAGCATGTTTTGTAAATGTTTGTCGGATTTATTTTTTATTTGTATTCATTGTGAAATGTCAGGAACAGTGCTTCCTAAACAGTTCCACATAGGTTTCTAAATGAAAGGAACAGTTGTGTTCGGAATAGCCTTTTTTTGGCCAAGCATTGAGAAAGAGGACAGTGACAGGGACTCCCCTTGCCCTCTTTAACACTGCTTCTCCAGGACATGAGGAGCAAATGAAAAACAGAAAGCCGAATGTCACGAATGAAAAATACTTAGGAGACTGAAAAATATTCTTTTTGGTAGCTGGGAAAAAGTAGACTTAATATATATATTAATTCAAGGCTTAGTGTTAGCCAAAAGCTGCCAAGTGCTGCCAAGCTGTGGTGTTTGGGTCTCACCCTAACTGCAACCCAGYGGCAGGTCAGGGCAGGATCCTGATGCTCACCGTCTCCCTCCATGTAAAAGGTGACATCTTCAATATTGTTCATGTGTCAAAATTCAGGTTAAAGCTTCTCAGGCATCTTGGGGCAAGTTCAAATCAGTCAGTCAAAACTGACTTAAGTCAGTTAATATCTTTCAGGAAACTGCCTAACCTGATGCATTTGTGATGCTTTCATAAGAGATCAAGGAGGACTGAGCTGTCAATCTGCAAACTGTGTGCAAGATTAGTAATAAAAAACACATCTAGAAAAGAATCAACAGTACTCTCTGATAACTAAAGTGGCTCAACCTCAGGCAGTGCTGGTACAGAAAAGAAGTAGTACTGGTAGATTTGGAACTTTGTTAAAAACCACACGGGCGATACAGAGGCAAGCAGTTTGGATGTCTTCAAGGTATGCAACACCTTCATCTATCTAGGGCAACAGTGTTTTGGAAAACCTAGTCCTAAAAATAATGTGAGCAAATGTTCCTCAGACTGAAGCCAGCTGCGGAATCCTGTACAAAGGTGCGTGCCTGAAGAGGATATGAAAATTCGGGGCGGGGGGGCAGGATATCCGGGATGATAGCCTGTTAATATTTTTATCTAAGAAAATGAAATAATGCTAGAGCGGAGCGYCAGCAGGGAGCCTTTCCCTGGCCTGGGGAAAAAGGACAGAGGGAGAATTCGGTTACTTGTTCACATTTATTAGAAGTCTAAGAAAGGGACCTGGTGGTACAAAGTCCTCTTGGGGTACTTTGCACTGTGAGAGAATTAGTTTTTTAGAAGCTTTTTTCTTTCTTTCCTATCTGAGATCTAGTTCATTCTTACAGGAGTAAGAAAGACCAACTTTTTTTTTTTCTTCAGCCAGGCAAGGAACAACAGTAGTGTTGACTTAAAGTTAATCATTGTACTGCTGAAAACCTGCAAATGAAGCTGAGCCTGTAAGAGGTAAGGTTTGACATTATATACATTATATACATTTATTGTCAGGGTCCTAAAGCAATTCACAGATTTCTTAATGGAAAGCACCAGAGATGACATCTGACTCAGTGGGAATGCTAAGTGTCTTGACCATCTGAGGTCATTGACCTGACTAGAAGCAGACCCTCACCTAAACTAGGTGGTGCTTAGGACAGCCCCCTTGAAGGCAAGCAGGGTAYCACCTTGTGTTATTTAACTTGGTTGTCTAGAGTGTCTTGGCCTGTCTGCCAAGAGGGGCAGAGTCGGTGTTAAGGAACGGGCTCCAAGGCTTCCTGCTGGAGCTTGTGCATAGGCTTCCTTTGTTCGAAATCAAAAGTGACATGGGGTTTTCAGTTGTACTGRTAAGTGTTTACCGCCTTGGTACAGGCATATGTGCCAGAGGACTCTTGTCAGACCTTTGATGTACATGAGGAGGGAGCCACATAAGCTGACTGAAAACTGCAGCTTGACGTTTTATCAGCAGTTTTATGCAGAAGGATCACTGCTTCCATTTCATGTGAAAGTACAGCTCAGAATCCCACCTGTGAAATCCATCTGGAGAGACTTTAGGATCTCGAAATYTCCTACAGGAATTTAAAAAGAGTATCTGCTGAAGGGTGTGAGAAWCATGGCACTAAATGTGAGGAGGAAGTTCCCTCCAAGGACAAGTGAGTGATGATTCAGTTCACAGACACCTCTGTTTATTTTATGATAAGATAATGCTATTATATAAGCTCCCAATGTCTGAATTGCTGCAGCTGATATTATGCATTCCACTCCCATCTTTTTAGAAGCTGGAAGTATAACATCAAATTAGCTTCCCTTCTCCTTAGCCTATAGCTATATTCTTGCCAAGAAGCATCTTTATCTAGTTTGATGGTCATGCCTTCTCTAGACAATAATCTATCCAAAGTTAAATTTAAAAAAAAAAAGCCTGATAGACATTTTTTCCTTCCTTTTCTCATTACTGTCTTTAAAGCAGTTGCTATTTGTTTGCAAAGTGCTTCTGCAAAGCTGGACTGAAAAAAACAGATAAGTGGGTTTGAAATAGATGCATATCCAGCAGCTCGGTATGGGTATTCTAACAGGGGTGTGTGATGCCAGTCACTTCATATATTTAGTCATCTATGTATAGTGTGTGTATCACACCATCTCATGCAGCTGAAAGTTCTTCTAACCCACATCAGCTAAAGCCTTTCCCAATTATGGTGATGGTGAGGTTTCAGAGACAAAATTATTAATTTCCTTGGTTCCACTGGGTCTATTTTTTTCTTTGTTTTGTTATATACTCAGTCAAAAGATCTTTACACACTAAAGGAGAATTTTTTCTTTGACTTCTGTATGAGAAGATGATAATCCAAGTATTCAAAGTATGAAACATGGCTTTAGAGGGTTGGTCCTTAGGAAGTGGGGAGAATTGTGCTGCTTTATGAGGAATAAAGTAAGAATTGAACTGGAGAAGAGGCTTAATGCTCTGTTTCCCCTGAGACATGTTAGGAGTGTTAAGTTCAGATTTGCCTTTCTCACTGGCTCTCTTCAGATATGAAGATTCCTCATCTTTATACCTGGCAAGGGGAGTATTAAGGAAGCTTTTTCCTTTAACTTTATATCTATTTCCCTTTCCAAGTGAGTGTGAGTTTTCCTCCTTGAAATTTAATGAAAGAAGAAAACTGTGAGTTTTTCAGAGCAAGGAGAGACACCTTCCACAGCTCCGGCTCACTCTTTTTAGAAATATGCTTTGCACTTTTAGAGGAGGGAAAATAGAAAATATTCCCACCGATATTTTTCCTTTCCATTTAGCCTACCTGATAGAAGGGGCGGAAGGATGAGGTGATGCTTTGGTTGTCTTCTTGGGATTGAATAGTGCTGAAAGCTCACACATGACTAAATACATGAAGGTTAAAGAGTATTGTATCTTATGTGGCATTCTTCTTGAAATAGGAAGCTTAATATTGAGTTGACTTTGGGATTTACCTTGCAGAGAAGGAGGTGCTAATTAACTGGGATGTCTCAGGGGCAGGTGCTGACAAGAGAAGCAGCTGCGGAGAGGAGGTCATCAGCACTGCAATTTATTGCAGCCACGAGGCAGCTTGGGCCAGAATAGCGGTTTTGTGCGAGCTGGATGGAGCAGGCACCAGTCCAGAAATGCACCTCGAAGAAACATGCCGCACCGAGGTAAGAGRGACCTGTTTGTCCTCACAAACCACCTACTTGTTTTCGCAGTGTTGCAGAACGTACCAAGATCATTTATGTAGCATGCAGGCTTAGTAAGTAAGAGTACAGATAAAAAAAAGGGTAGGATTTTGGCTGGAGTTAATAGAGATTGAAGAAATCCAACTTCAAAGCCTAGACTGAAGAATCTAGAATAAGACAGATAGATAATACATAGAGAGATTAAATAGATAAGAGGACCCTTTTATCACAGAGCAAAGAGGTAAAGTTGTTCTCCCCAAAGCATAGAAGGGATSACCTTTTTCTCTAAGCAAGAACCCTTCCTGCTTTTAACGTGGATTCAAAAAAATGTCTTAGAARCTTAGAAAAATTTCAGTCTTAGAAAACTAAAATAATGACTATTGTATTTTTCTGCCAGAAAATGCTGTTATTTATTTTTCTCTAGCTGTGACAGCTTCTGTCTTTTAAAGAGGGAGGAATGGAGACTATCAGAAAGTCAGTGGAAGACTTGTAAAGTAGTCTTCACTTGGATACAGGAAAATAAAGAGTTTTGAGTAACTCCATGTAGTTCTTGTCAGCTTCCAGGCTGAAAGAAACTGGCTCTTTGGAAAGCAGTAGTCCAGTCGTATATTTTTTTTCTTTTCCTTCCCACCCGTGGAAAGAAGTATTTTAATTCGATCCCTTCTTTTCTTATGGCAGATAGCAGTCTGGACCCTGTGGAGCCTGTAGAGAGCAGAAAACCCCCTGTACCCATTCTTCTAAGATCATCTGAGGTAAATGTTTGTGAAATTCATTGGGCTTCAARTACTTTAAAAAGCAATCTGGTTTTATTACTTACTGTTGCATTATATAGAGGAGATAAAATTGCAGGGGCTGACTGTATATGAGACTATCAGGGGGAATAAATAGAAGGTTGCAGCTTAGAGTGTCATTTGGAAATGGTCTCGGACATAGAAATCTGTGCAAAGAGACTGATGGCAGCCAGAAACAGCAGGGAAGTGCAATCTTGCTAGGTTTTTATTAGAATAAAAATAACTGTTGGATGAGAGTTTTTCTATACATCTGCATGCCTACTTATCTCTGTGTGAATAACCAGCAGTTTGGATCATGCACATATGGGATCATTGCTGACTCAACAGGCACAGTGTTAACTCCTTTACTCTTGCAACCAATGCCCTGCAACAGAGATTTGTGGGCTGCCTCCAAAGCATGCTTCTCTTCCTGCCTCTCCTGCAAGGATTTTAAGGTTAAGACCTGAGAATCYGTGTCAATTTTGCATTCTTTCTAACGCTTAGTCTTATGTAATTAGTTGACTCCTGTTTCATGTAGATATCTTGTTAACCTCTGTGCCTTGTCCTAAACTGAAATGACCTTTGAATGAATAAGTTACACACCCAAGACTGAGGAATGCTAGTAAACAGAAGCGCAAGAAGAGAGATCTCAAACTACACAGCCTAAGGAGTGCCTGGGATAACTTCTCAGGGGAGAATATTTAAGCATTTTATTTCCTGGTCAGATGCTTTTAAATCTCCCTAGAACTTTTTGTGGTAGAACAGAAGCTGAAATAATCATAATTCCCTCCAACAGCAGTCATTCCTGCAAAGCACGTGCCCTGCRTTTGTCTCTGCAGTTCCTAGATAAATGGGCCTCCCCTCCCAATCCTGCTATGAGGTAAAGGGTGCAGTTTCAGATCATGCTGCTGTGTTCGAGTGGGTTAGCTGGCTTTCCAAAGGCAGCTGCTAGCTTTGCCAGAAGGATTTCATGTTCAGTGCCTGAATGCTCAAGCTCATACAGCCATCTGTATAAGACTGTCTTGTTCAGGTAGTATCTCTCCTTGAATGTGGACAAATATATATATATATATATATATATATATGTATCCTGGCCACTTGTTTTTCTGGTTGTGGGGCTACGTATGTACAAGGAAGGACATGAATGCAAAGGCCTTCCCTGTACTGGTCTGAAATACTTTGCACTTTAGCTATGTCACATGTTGTGGTCACACTGCACAAGTGGCCAGAAACAGCTTCTTGGATTACCGGGTAAGAATTAAAACGTTTGCCAGTCTCACGTAGCATATGCAATGCATAAGATAAGCTTTTAGCTGATGTGAATAAAGGTGGCTTTTAGTGACATGTATTTTTAGGAGAMGGCCAGAAGTTTGGCTGCTTGTTTGTTTGTTGACATGACAAAAAAGGATATCTTCTCTGATGCAGCTGCCAAGAGATTAAATCATAGCCCTGGGTGGGGTATGGAAATTATTTTGCTAGAAATTACGTTGACAACGTGTGAAAATGTTTGAGCAAGTATTGCTCCATCGCTACACGTAAGGGAGGCAGAGTTGGGCACCATAGCGTAGACTCCAAGTGTTACAGTTACTGAATCACTGGGATGAGTCTTGTTTGTTTTTTTTTTCCTGGTAATAAGAAACGGAACTAATTCCCAGGATAATTCTGCGTGTATTTTTCTGTTTAAAATTGGGGGAGCTTCAGTCCTACTTCTAAGAAAAAATATGTGCATGTGTCTGTGCGTGCATGCAGGGGTCTGTGCTGGGGACTCCTGGCATGTATGTAAGGAGCCCAGGAGAAATGAGAGCCAAATTGTGCTCGAATCGTCTGAAATGAGCAGTAAATCAAGAAGGGTGACTTAGAGGATATGTGTGCAGGAAGATTATGCACACAGGCAAATGAAGGCAGTTAAAATAGGAAAAAAAACACTGAACAGATTTTTGAGTATCATTTGAAATAATTCTCCCCCCTCCTTCCCTCTGCCTTTCCCCTCACCCCGTCCCCCCAAAACATGGCAGAGAGAGGGGGGATAAAAGCAGCAAAATAGATGCAGCAAGATTTCTTCTGTAAAGTAGCAGTGGAAATTAGGATATGAGTATGTAAGTAGACTGACCATAAGACAGACWTGCAGATAATGGACAAAATATCTTATATATAAAAACAATGTGGAGGAGTTTGTTGGTGCTGCTGAATATTCATGTAAAGGCTGACATGAATCGAGACCTGTTTTGGYTGCATAAGTGGATGTACATGAGTCAGCTTTTTGCATCTAGTAGAATATTGCCTTAAAGTGCTTTTCCAGTTGCTGGGAGGCGTGTGCTGGAGACAGCCAGGAGCTTTCCCGTGTGAGCTTTTTGTGTGGGTCCCCTTCTCTTTGGATCGTGTCTCTCTGAGTATCCCAAATGTCAAACGGGATCGATACCCATAGCATCAGTTACGGGTGAGAAAGGGAGCTTGCTCGATGGAGCAGCCAAGTGCTCTGCCTTTCTGCCCCTGGAGAAGCACTGTTTCCCAAGGTCTCCTTGCAGCAGCGCATGCAATGCAATCCCAGCGATGCTCCGGATGCCTTGCGCGCAGCAGGGAGGTGAGAGATGCCTGCAAGCAGCTCACAGGTAGATAGGCACTGTCCCCAAGTAACTCGAGCAGACCACGTATGGGGCTGGTGGCTCCCCCTCGCCGTGCCAGCAGCGCCGTTTCGCACAGTGACAGTGTCAAATTTAGCAGGACTGAGGACGCGAAGCCCTCTCGGTCCTCGCCATCGGCGCGGCAGATTGGAGAGGGGCCAACGGCACGCCGCCAGCGGAGCGGCATCCCCGGGGAGGCGGGAAGCAGAYGAGCCAGAAGAGAGGGAAAAGAGAGGAGCTGGGTTCTCGTTAGGAAGCAAAGCGTAAGAGGAACTCACTTGGGCGAGGGATGCGCGGTCCGTGTCGGGCGCAGGGCGGTCTGTGTGCCGGGCTCCGCGGCSGCGCTTACATCTCCTGCTCGTTAATATTATGCAGGCTCCTCCCTGCCATGACACATGGAAACCTCAGTTCCTCAGATAACAGCTTTGCGGGGGCTTTTTGTTTGTTTCTTTTTTTTTTTTCTCAAGGCTACCTGGCAAGGGGATTTTTTTCAGTTTATCCTCGTCCACAAGAAATATCTTAAAAATGTCATTTAAAAAAAAAAAAAAGAAATGAGATTAATAGATGCTTCCATGACCAGGCACCAGGGAGCTGAGCCAGATGTTAGTTTAGCTTTGTTTTGTTTTTCCTAAAGTGTAAAACACACGGAGCAAGCCAAGAAGCTGCTGCCTTGATCTGTAGTATTATGAAGCTTCCCAACAGCTGACCTTATTACGGAACAAGATGCTAAACAGCTACAGTCCCATTCAAGTGTTGGAAGGAGCAGGGAGGGGTAAGCTAAGGCCTTTGCAAAGGCCATAGCAAGGCCATAAAGCAAAAGTCCACATGAAATATGATTGTAGCTAAGAGTAAAGAAGGGAAAATGAGCAATCTGGGAAGTTCTGTCCTTGGGCATATCAGCGTGCGTGTCAGCGGTGGCAGAGCCCTGTGCTGTTTACTGGTGCTTATCAGCTGCAGGGTGAGATGAGGGCAGGAGGGGCGATGCTGCTCTTGAACTTCCGTCGTACCCGTGGCCTTCACGAAGTCCATTCAATATCCATGCTCTCTTTTCCGCTGGGCAGGCAACCAAATGCAGCAGTGCTGAAGCAAAGTGTTTGAGATGTAAAGCAAACAGCCAAGGCACCTACTGCACACGTGTATTTTTGAAGCCCTGTTCCATTTTTCTACTAAATGGCTGCAGGTGCAGCCTTGATCAAAGCAAGCTGTCAGATTCCTACAACTTGTTGTATTAATCACCTGCCTCAGTACAACTCATTTCTGTCCAGTAAATGCATTTCAGTGGTGTCAGCAGCTGATTTTTCAACCACCAACACAAATCAGCAATTTTTCAAGCCTTAGCAGGCAAGAGAATATTTACAGAAACAAAGCAAACAAGCAAAATAAAGCTCTCAGCATCTAGCCCAGACTGGTATAACTTGACTTGAGAGAAAAATTGCTCAGGCAAACTCCAGCGATGACACTTTGCTTTTCTTGACTTTGTAGTCCAGATGTATATGCTGTGGCAAAGTGTTGTTAATATTTAAATGGGGAGGGTGTGTGCGTGGCGGGGGTGTTAACTTGGCCTTCCTCCTATAGTTACTTCTTGCAGATTAAGCTCTATGTTTATTTTACCCATTAAATCTGCCACAGTGTTTGATGGTATGAAAAGGTTGCCAAAAAAATGTCCATTCTCACGCAAGTCTGTGATTGTTTATCGCAGGTTTTGGCAAGAGTCTCTGCAGGTAAATAACCTTTTGCTTGTGTCCAGCTCCTGGAATCTTTAAGAGCTGTGGGAGTGTTGCAGTTGAGGTTATGGGATGTTAAGAGCAATACAAATCRGAGCTGGGAGAAGGAACACGTGTTCTGATCAGATGCTATGAGAACAGACCAAAGCTGAGACGTTTCCTTATGAGAATCTGTTGTCAGATGCCGCTACCACTCAGCTGCTGGCATTTCAGCACTTTGCATGGATCAAAATTAAAGCCAGGACTGAGCAGGACAGATGTGCATTTCAGAGCTCTCACGGGCAGTGTTGTTGACTCCGTGAATCACAGTGCGGATCTGCTTCCCTGTGAGTCCTTAAGTGTTATTGTTGTTCTGCCTTTTGAATCACTGCAGGTCCCTCCCCAGCTCGCTCTTTCAAGGAACTGCTCTACTTCATCCCAGTGTCTTAGTCAAGCCTAAGATTGAAATAAGACTCTGAATTTGCCAATGTCTCTACCATGAGAAACCACATGTAATGCAGCTGGTGGGCCCATCGGTTTGAATGGATGTGTCAGTAGGAACATATGCAGCAGAAATGGTTTCTGACRGCTCATTTTTGGGAACAGTGAGGATCCACCTTCACCCAAGCCGAAAAATGAGCAAATCCATGACCGTCACGCAAGCTTTCCTTTCCCAGAAGGGAGTTACCAGTCAAGATGTGACATTCTTACTGAAAGCGGTCACCTCTGCAGTTCCACTTGCATGTCTGGGAGAATAACTGCCCTCAATCCAGAAGTTTTATTAGAAATTTACAAATGTATAATAGCACTCGTGTTCATTTCCTTTGCAATTTCCATGCCCCACCCATTCCTTTCTTTTTTTTTTTTCTTCTGCTGTTATTTTTAAAAGTTCCTTTAATTTCAAGTGAATCTGTGAGAAGGGTACATAGGAAATGGAGAATAATGCCTTCCCCAGTACATAAGCCTYRATAGGCCTATGTTTAGATACCTTAATAGRCCTATGTTTAGATACCTTAATAGGCCTATGTTTAGATACCTGTCAATGTAGCAATGTTTTAAGACCAATCAGTATTTTATGAGTAAAAGAGCTATTTGCAAACAGTAAATTTAGCAGCCTTTTAGCAAACAGTAAAGTCTGCCAGAGAAATCCAGTATTGAATGGACTTAATGTTTGGCTAATGCAACCTACATTTACAGTATAGCTCAAAGAAAATAGTTGCATGGAGCACTGAAAATACCAGATGTTTAATTTTGAAAGAAACTGAAATGTTTAAAAGCTTCTTTTTAAGTGTATGTAATGTATGTTCTTGACTTTTTTTATTTTTTTTAATTGCAAAATACCGAAGAGAAAGGTTGACTGGACTTGAAAAGAATCATTGTGTGAACAAAAGGCTGTTGTAGAACTTGCTGCTTACTTTCTTCAGCCATATGCATTGCTTTGCTTGGGTACATACATAAAAGTCATGAATGGCTCTGGAAAACTCAAACGTGATTACTGTATTGCCATAGTGCTGGTAAAAGGCAGTGCTTAATTCAAATCTGAGATTTACTTCCAGAGCTAGCTCAGAAAAATCAACTAAAGAAAGGACGGTTGTTTGGGGATGTTTAGGTTTTACTTTTTAGTATTTTTGTGCCCTCCTGGCATTAGGGAGCCTTTTTGCTAAGACTAAAATGCATCAACTGAAAGATGCTTCTTTGAATTGCTACTTGGAGCAACAAGAGCAATTGCAATTCAGAATTTAAATAGGGTCATATCCAGTCATTAGTGCAAAATGCTTCACTATTTCTAAGGCACGTGTTCTATATTTTCTGCATATAAGCATGATCTTGAGTTATATTTATGAGAAACCATGTTTTACAGTGACGTTTGCATCCTGGCAGCACCTCCAGCTTAGCCGAGGAGCAACGATACTCTGCTCAGCTCGTGGGAAGTCACATGCAGAGATGCCATTTAAGCACAAATTCCCCATGTACAACCAGGGGGCGATTCGGAAGATTCACTTCAGCGGGAACACACAGGTGGGAGCTCCTTTTGATATGTCATATGCCATCTGACCTGTTTCTGTCTGTCCTCTCTGTRCTAGTACTTTGCTTTCTGTATCGTTCTGTAGAAATTCCTTGAGGGAASCAAAAATCAGCCCCTGGGGAGAGCCAGTCAGCTGCTCTGCTTGTTTTAATTGATGCTTTGTTACCCTGCTGTGGGAAAGAAGCAAGAAGTGAAAATGAAGTATTTGTGTATAAACCACAGAGAATAAGGGGTGTTTKGTTCCTCGTTTCGTGCATGTAGTTCAAGTATTCTTGGAAGTCGGCGATAGCGGCTCTTTACGTTCGGAGAGTTCAGTCACAAGGTTTCGTCAGCTTGTGAGCCACTGCAGCCGTATCACATGGCAGGAGGGGCTGTGTAAGTAAATCATTTTGCGTTTTTGAGTGTAGGAGAATAATCCTGGAGTGGCGCCAGTGGGCCAATGCAATTAGGTAAATGGTTAAGCCTTATGTAACGCACCATGTGCTGCGTGTCCCTGATTACGGGAGAGATAACGTTACACAGATGTGTTACTTAAAAGCCTTTGAAATTATCTTGTTAAAGGGAAGCCTTCTCACAGACGTTAAGCTGCCTCGTCATGGTGAGCTGGTACTGAGCCCTCTTGCTGGGATGTCTGTCTCACTGAGCAAGGAGGCGCCATGCTCCTTTCATGCCGGTGTGCATTTTAGGGTAGAAGTAGGTGAAACCCTGCTGAAATCTGAGACTTCCCCCAAAATCTCTCCACGTTGTCCCTTGTGATTCAACAAAATGAATAATTTGATGTCCTAAACTCTTTCAGATTAAGAAGATTTCCCTGTTCCTGGCAATAGGTGGGGGTGATCTGGCAAAACTGAGCAAGATGAAAGGACTGATGCCTCAGCCCTAGTTTTGCTACCATCACAGCAGAACGGGAGATAATCTCCTTCAACATGTAAATGAAATACTTCATTTCACTTAAATTCCAGTTTTAAAGAAACAAAGTAGTCTCTTCCAACTCCAGAAGTGCTTCTACAACATCATTTTTTTTTTGAATAAAAATAGAAACCACTACATTTAATTCCAAACAAAAACACACTAGGGGAATATTTGAATGTGTTCCCAGAGAGGGGAATAATCTGATACCCAGACTAGCTTTCATTTAAATCCTGCTTTTTSTGGGATGCAATGTCATGCTGGAGGAGGCGAGGGAAGTATGTGCTTAAGAGTTTTATTGAAAAGATTAGATGGGTGGTGACACATCATCTAACTTGAACCCTGGAACTCTTGGAGCTTAATGGTTAATCTGTCAAGGGGCTGAGACTTTTTTGGAGGACAGGCTGCGGGGATAGAGGGCGAAAGACTGAATCTCTATATGCATCAGACCACAAAGCCAGGGAGTCTTTGAGTATGGAAGACAAGAGACTTCACAGAAGGGAATAGAAAATTGTTTTGGATTTATAAGATACATAAGGACACATGGGGCAGGAGCCACAAGCAGTGTGTGGTGCTCCCATCGGACTGAGGTGAATGGGAACTAATGTTAACACGTGCCAGCCTGCCCTGCAACTCAGCCCGGCCTGATGGCCTTTCCTCC